GGAGAAAGGGTAGACAACTGAAGTAGAAATCAAGTACATAATGCTACATCAAGGACTACAAAGAAGTTTTCTAATTATGTACAAATTCAGATTATCAGCCTTTCTTCTGTTCCTAAAACACAGCTTGAGGTCTTCCTTGATTTTCCTTTTGGAGCAGAGTTTTGTGAAGACAAGGTCCAGCTGCAGTTATTTTTGCGTTTGTAATTTAGCACTTACCAGAGCCATGAGTGTTTCTTCTGGTTTTGGGGGTTTAATCTCTACTTCCTCCAGACCATAAGGATACTATTCCGTTACATTTCCATTCTCATTAGCAGTCTCAGATGCCATAGCTTGCCTAGAAGGTTGCCAGCTCTTTTGAAGTTCCTCACATGAAGATAAAGGCGTATCCTTCCTTATAGAAGTACTTTACTAAAAATGCTCAAGCAGCTAGAATGCTGTTGACATATAGTCCATAGCTGTCATTGTAGCATCTAAAATGAAATTTAATCTCATTATGTCTCTTAGTTCTTACTGCTGCCATGTTTTGTGTGGCTAATAAAGTGCGACTCGGACCCTTGGATTTCTTTCGTAGTTTCATATCAGGTAGACTGCTGTGGCTCAGTGAAAAACAAGTGAAGGACGGGGCCCAGAGAAGTAAGAAAAACTGAATTCATTTAGTCAGCTAAAAAGACAAACTTTTATTATTGGGAAGGGAAAAAGGAAGATACCTAGATAATTATAGGGGTTTTAATCTTCCCTCATAAAATTACTAATGGTGTGAATTCTTCAGACATCAGTTGTATCAAGTGTTTGCAGGCTTCATTTATTATCTACTAACCAAAATTAGCATTGTAGAACCAAAGCAATACCAAGCTTTTCTCCTACATTTCTGTTGAGAACACTGTATTTATTCAAGATTTTAGAAGCAAGTCTCTGGAAACCCCTGATCGCTTCAGAAAAGGATTCCCCTTTACACTATACAGCAGGCACTGAAACCATGATACAAAATTTATTTCATGCTAGAATTGTTTTGCATAACATTGTGCATGCATTTTACTCAGTACTAAATTGCATACAATGCTGTTGTCTTGTTTCTTAAACTTTGAGACCATTTATACTTGAGTATTTTCCTGATTTTGTACTATAAGTCCCAGTTTTAAAATAACACCTCTTTTGTTTAAAATTCATACTGATTACTTAATATGAACAATTTATGAAGGGTCTTTACGTTGGATCTATACATCAATAAAATACAACATAACCAGAGCTGGAAAATTAAATCTAGACCAGCTGTTACTGTCAGGTCCGAAGGAAGGTCCCATGTGTCACAAGCATGCCAACAAAAACAGACAGGAAAAAAGTTTTCTTATTTTTATACACTTCTAGTTGGATTTAAAGTTCTTGATTTCCATGTCGGTGTGATGAACTGTGAAGGCGTGGTCAATATGACCGATGACTGCCTGATTGCACTTTTTAAAACCATTACTCTGTATCTTGTATACAAAAAGAAGCGATCCATAGCAAAGAAATGTACAGTTTTATAATGTTTTACATTTTGGCTACAACAATGTATGTAAAAGTAAAGAGCTTTGAAAGAAAATATATAACTTTGCTTTTTTTTTCTCCTTAATCATACATTTGCAGTGTTTCTTCGGTTTTTGTTTTGTGTTTTTGTTTTGTTTTCGTTTTTTTAAATTTTTGTCTTCATGCAATTCATGCTATGGAACAAAAAAATAGATTAAAAAAAAAAAAGAAAAAAAAAAAAAGATCTTCTACAGTTTTGTTACATTTTGGCCGTAGAAAAAGCCTGCATCTCTAGTACAACTCCAGAACCACGAAGAATCATCCATAAAACCTGCATGGAGCGAGTTAACTTTGTCCAAATGAGAAGGTCTTCTATGCCTGCACAGTTCCACACAGATGTTTATTAGCCATCAATGTTCATCTCCATCTTGCCTTGTCAGGTCACTCTGACTGCCTCTGTTGGCATATATTTAGCAATGACTGGACTTTCTTTGCAAAGATCTGCATGTAAAGAATACAATCAGTACTTGAGCTTCTTCCCTGCGCTTTTCACATCAAGCTCGGCATCTTAGTGTTAAAGGAAGGAGGAAAAAGTGAAATAGCTACATGCAGAGGCAGCCATATTCTTCTTCAACAGGATTTTTTTCCCATGCAGTCAGCCAGACTGAGACCTCTCTACAGTGTGTCTGAGTATTGCTTTCAGCATAAAATAGGCGCCCATGCAAAGTTTCATCCTACTGTGCTTGTTTGCTCAAACTCCTGCAGGGTTCCTATGGCTCAAAAATATCCTGAGAAAAGCAAAATCTTCCATCGTTGGCATGTTTCAGCATCGACTAAATGCCTAACCCATTTCATACAGAGCCAGTAGATCCACCATTAGCCAAAATAAGCATATACTAGCAGGATGCACCAGGAAGGAAACTATCTGGTGCATCTACCCTTCATCCTATGTACTGATACCATGCAGCGTGTATGGCCCACCAGTACTATGTAAATGCCTGCCTATTGTCATCTGAGTGCTATTTAGGAGTGTTGTCACCTAGCATCAGTAGTAACACCGTTCCCAGCAGGTGCTACTGTGAGACATTGCATCTTCAGACTTAGTCACCTGGATTATATGCAACATAGCATAGGCTAATTGAAAATAAAGCTTTTTAGACCATTCTCTGCTACTGATCCATGCTACAATATAGATGGGATGGGAGACCAAGAACGTCTCACTGGACTAGGAGAGCTGTAGGGCGCAGACACTGAGGATAATCCTATCGCTTTTCCACTTATGCCAGCTATGCTGTTAAGGCTCCGTGACATTTCGTAACCTTCATTTAAAAGAAAAATGCAAAGTACAGCATTGGATCAATGACAGAATGGACTAAGAATGAGGTCAACATTGTAGCCAGTTCAATAGCATCTGCATGCATGGACATGCCGAGAGTAGTATCGCTTGCAACGTGACTCAGAAGGCCATTGAAGTACAGATCAAGTTTAAAATATATATATATATGTATATAAAAAAATCATCATTTCTCAAGGATGGTCAGGCTATGTTATTGATCCTACAGGCAGCAACATGATTGTACTCTGAAAAAAAGAAGTGTCAGTGGGAGGGGTTTTCTATGTCTCCGTCATACATTCATGCATACCTCTCCCTTTCACTTCATGCATTTTGACCTCAGGCAAAATTAAGGTTTCTGGTATCTTTGGGGGCGGGAGGGGGAAAAGGCAGCAAAATCCATAAAATTTATTGTGTTGCTATAGAGATACTACTCCTTCGTTCTCAGCATTAAAAAAAAAAAAAACAAAACCAAAACCAAACCCAAAATTGCATGCATTCTGTTTCCCTCCCTCCCGCCCTCCCCCCTTCTTTTTCAAACATGCATGTAAACAGCTCAGCAAGTGTACAGAGAGTTGCACAAACTATGGATGAAATTCTGTTGGAACAACAATTAAGATGCTCTCAACGTGTTTCAAACAGGCCAACAATATGCTGACGTATATTACTCTTTAGCCAACCAGCCTCTGTTTCATTCAGTAACGAGAGGCGGTTGCAGTGCATCGTGAAAACCATACATTCCTCATCCCAAAGGATGTGCCATTTGGAGTGTTCCCCTGATCCACTGGAACCACCTGACCTCGCCCAGGCTGAATGAATGTGGCAATGCTTATCCAATACAGAATCAAGTAAAACGCTTTGCTACAAAGGTAAATTTTAGAGGATATGCTTTCATATGAAAGTCTTGTCGTCCAACTATATCTTTGTTGATGATAAGCTTTAAACTTATAAATACATACACTATCTATAACTGGCATTTACTATAGCTATTGCCCATCATACAATGGCACATGGGAATTCTATACTCCATACTCAGTGTATGGTTACATCATACAATCTTTGCAGTTTTAAAATATTGACTATATGATATACTATATACAGTACACCAGTGATAAACACTGATCTGAAGAGAGAGATTTCCAATTTTCGCATTCCTTATCAACTTTGATGCATATATACGTAACTGTAATTTTGGTTTGTATGGTTTCCTCATGTTATATTATTCAAACAAAACAGTCTATCTGAAGAAGGGAAGTTTTTTTTATTTGACTTTACTTCTGTTGCTAAATAGACTATTCTGACCATTAGCAAACTAAAATGCAGTTACTTCTGAGAGATCTGTAGCTGTCAGAAGTCTGAGAAACTAACTAGTAATGATTTATTTATGAAAGTGATTTTAGATGGATTATTTTCCAATTGTAAGACACCTGTGCTAACAGATGTTCTTGTATGCTTCTCTTTCTCTGTTGAACTAAACAGCTATGAATATCCAAATAATTTGTTTTAGTGCTCTGTCAGGGTAGCCAAATAATCATTTCATATTTCTTGAAGATGTTTTGCTTTTGTGTTTTATCTTTTCTGTCTGCCACCTCCAAGTCTGTGCTCCTCAGAGTTTGGTAAGATCTGTGAGCTTTCCAAGTGGCAAACCTTCATTGCTACGAAATGTTAATTGGCCTCTCCTTGGAGGATGGGCTAATTTAAGGACATTGTAGAGCATCCTCCACTAAAGCTTACTGCACCAGCTGGGGTGGAAGACTCAACTGCCTAGCATAGCTGCATGGGGTAGTTACAGCTCCTCAGGCTTTTCTTTCTGAAAGAAATAGGTTAGAAACTCCAAATGCAGACATCAGGTGGTGGTTTCCAGCCCAAACGTGCATCTCTACAGCAAGCGCACTATTGCGTGCTACAGCTACAGCTGACTTTCTCTTATTTATTTAAAACGGTTGCTAACTACATGGTTACAGGACCCCAGCTACATACCCTTTCTTATTCCTCCATCAGGCGGGCAGGGATATTCCCCGGTTGATAAGAGGAAGCAGGGTCCATATCTCTCCCGAGTGCCAGAGCGGGTAAAGGGCAGGCCCTCATCAGGCGTAATAGCCTGGTCTATGTGGGGACAGTCTTCGTTTGCCAGCGCCGCCTTGGCCACCTCACCATTCAGTTTCGAATCTTCAAACATATAAGCAGAAGGCTATTGAAACACTATGCACTGTTTATTAGAATTCCAGCTGCAAATTAAGGGTTCACAGCTAAAGAGTTCTATAGCGACACTATAAAAGGTAGCACATCTGTCCTAGACACTGCGTTCGTGTGCACTGCACCAAAATAAAATAAAGTCTGTTAAGTGGGAGGAGAAAGAAAACGTGATCACGTTAGGTGTAACAGCAGCCACCTGTACTTCCGCATAGAGGGGCGGTTTCAGAAACGGGCGTGCATTGGTTCCTAGTCCTGCGAGCAGAAGACTGCGGTTAGAAATCGGATTATGTTTTTGCATGACATCAGATGGTGCATGAATGACCTGTTTGTCATGAAGCCTACTGTCGCTCAGAGCTTTGGAGAGGCAGTGGACTGTGAGTTGTGTTCTAGTATTTGAGTATATTCTGTTTGTGCTGATTTATACCTGTGTGCAATATTACTGAGGGGAAAATTCCTGCTCTTTCCCCCCCACACACCAAAATTTACCCAAATTATTTGATAGCGATTCCGGTATCAGTCATGCAGAATGGCTGTACAAGTTTTAGACACACAGAGTACGTTACATATGGAAATACGACAGCAGAATGTGGATTTAAAAAAAAAAAAACCAATCCATTTTCTGATGTTTTCCTCAGAAACACATACAGTATTTGCAATGCCAGCACAGGACACTACATTTAGAAAACACTACAGCAGGCCATGAATTTGGAAAATAGATAGAGCAAAATTTACTCTCGGCTGTAAATAATGGAAATAGATTGCCAGATTTCCCCATTTTGCTCCACACATTCCCATGAGGATAGACTGAGCATAGCATGTTTTCTCTGTGTGACTTGTTTGACATTTATAAAACAAAATAAAGTGCTATTTAGTGTAGGATTTATTTTAGGGTTTTAAAGTGCAAATTAGTGTATTGAGAATATACTCGAAATATGGCACAGCTCAATATGAGTATTTTAGTTGAAGGGAGGAAAAAACAGTCAAAATGTGCTTTCTGAAGTTTCACAAATGCTGAGATACGTTAACTGAGTGGTATTGGCGGCATCCTACACCTCGGTTGCACAATGCTTATTACTTAGACGCTGTAAGGCAATGGGTGGTCCTGCAGGTCTTTAAGGAAAGACAAACTCAACGGATACACTTAATTTCAGTGCCTCTTCCAGATTCGCATACTAGCTTGTTCTGAACGCTACATGATACTGTCATTTATTTTTCAGTGGTTGTGAAGCTAAGTCATAAAACGAGCCCAAAAGAAAAAATACATTAGGTGGGGTTTGGAGATACGATTCTGATCCTCTGGTTTCAGATGGACAACATTGATGGGTAGCAGGCAAAAGCCTTTCCAAGTTATAGTTGTTGCATTGTACACACACGCGCACACACACACACACACACAGATGTATATGACACACGCTATGATTCTATCTGTGCCCCATTAATTGCATTCCATGCCTTTACTTTTATTTAGATGTCACTGGTTTGTCACAATGTAAACAGTATTTTCTGCAGATCTCACCTCTGCCTCCTTTCTTCTCCTTGCAGAACTAGCCCATTATTTCCTGAACTGGGGAAGTAGTAATATTTTGTTTTGTGAGCAATGAAATAACGAGGCCTTTCAATACATTTTAAAAAATGTAAAAGCTATAGGTGCATTTTAATACTTGTAGATGCTAATTTCAATAGGATTCTGAAGTTTTAAGGTTGCACTGAGTTGCAGTTCCTTTCTGTTCATAATACTCGGTGCTGTTTAATACCTCTCTTTGCACAAAAACCTGGCACGGCTGCCATAGTAACCGTGATATTGCAGGTACTGAGCTGTTGATTTGAAAATCACTTAGCTGTGTTTGGGGAGAGATGCTGTCCTCATGGGGATGAGCAAAGAACCGGGCTTCTTCATAAGCCTCAACTGCTGCAAGCTGGTGGCTCTAAGCCTGATGTGAGGGAGGCAGCTGTGTCAGAAGAGCTCTACATTGAAATCTCTTGAGACTCCCCTTGCTACACCTGAGCCTGGGTTCCCAAACTAAGCTCTTAGTGGTGGAGGGGGCACTGGTCCATTTTTCTGGAGCTCAAAACACCTCTGAGCAGATTGGTTGTGGGTCAGGCTGCTCACTGGTACCAGCCATTGATCCTTTTGGAAGCAGGTTGCAGGCTCTTGTGCTTGAATGACAAGAAAATTGACCTTGGAATTAATTTCTTAAAATGCATTATACATCCCTAGCCACTTGAGCTGGAACTTGCTCTTGCAGCCCCCTCAGGATCCCTTAGCACTGATGAATTTTTCTGTGTACTTGTTGTTGAAAATCGTTCTATTCAATAGGAAGAGAACAGAGTAGCTGGAGATGTGGACAAATCACTGATGTGATTTTGTCCTACTAACGTCCCTTGAATATTCCATGCATGGGCAATGCATTAGGGATTACATTCTGGATGGCAATGCTAATCCACAATGACAATTTTGCTAAACATTTAGGAAGCAAAGAAATCACCAGCACAGAAGGCTGCATCTATTGCTAGTGTATATAAATAACTGTCGAGTAGTTGTGTTCCAAACCACTGTCTGCAGTACCTAATTCTCTGAGTGTAGGACTTGACAATCACATGATATTTAACGTGTGATAAATTTGTTACGGGAATAAAAAAACATCACTGATGTCATCAGCCTACAGTTAGAAGTTCCCATTGTTTTCATTAGCAGATCTACATGCTGAATTCAGGAATGAGGTCTAAAGATGGAATGAAATAGTGGGGGTTTTAGGTTGATTTCTCAAGTTTTAATTTGCATGTTTGGTTTTTTCCCTCCTTGAGAGAACTCCAGAGAAAGCAAAACTACTGAAACCATTACTGGCTGGTGACTACCAGTCTAGTTATACCAATGATGACTACTACTTAAAAGGTGCTCAAAACTTCTAAGACTTGACTCTAGCCTACCAAATTCACAGGAGTCTTTCCATCCCTGCTAGCAGAATCTGAATTGCTTGTACAGCATTTTTTGTTGTTCTGTAGGTTCTGTTTCATGAAGAAAAGTCAATGTTATCATAACAGGTTATCTACGACAAAAATCTTCTGACTCTCAGCTTGGCACCTTATCTCTGTAATTGTCCTATCTGTGAATACCTAGTTAACTGCACCAGCTTTAAACATTCTCCTGCAGAGATTTAGCTGAGAGACTAAAGAAAGTATTCAGCACATCTCCCAGGTGAGTAGTTTGTTTCACAACTACTCATTTGTGGGGTTTCCTCTTTTTTTTTTTTTTTTTTTTCCCTATCTATCTCCATTTGCAGAAAGGTACTGTTAAAATGCCTTGGGTGTTTCTGAGCAAATAGCTAATTTCAAATCGGGGGGAGAGATTCCAAAAAAACCCCTTTAGGATTACTGCTGGATTTTGCATTGTGGAGAAGCACAGTAGAGACTGCCCATGTACTTGCTGCATGGCTCATCTCTTTTGTTACAACAAGTGGTTTCACACTGTCATAGTGACTTTACCTACCAGTGTTGCTGGTTTTGATAATAAGCTAGAGCCTGACACTGAGTCTCCACCTCTTTGAACTACATCTTAGGTTCAAAGTATCAGTGGACATAATTGTATGGTATATTCACTGACCTCAATCTATGCTTGGAAATGTGGCACTTGTACAGAACTGGTTCCTACACTGGCAAAGTCATCCCAGTCCTCTTCCCATAAGCAAACTGCCGTTCTCCAACAGCTGCCGAGGTACAAGTTCCTGGTTTACCCTTTGTACCTTAGATGTCTCCAGAAATTGTGTGTGGGACAGGGATGGCCCTGTTTCCTCTTAGGACTGTAGCTACCCGACACCCCCCCCTTTGTCTTCCATGTGTCTACGGCTACATGAACTGTGCCAGATTCTTTGTGCTAAAGAAAATGGGATCTTCTCATCCCTAGATCATGCAGCAATTAAGAGACACAGTGCTGTTTCTTTTGGTCACATTAGGTCACTGACAATCTCTTCCAGAAGAACACAGACTGTCTTCTGGCTACCCTTGTTTAAAGATTAAGAGACAAGGACCCAGCTTGAGTACCTACGGCTTCCCTGAATAGCCATTTGTCGTTCCACAAAGGCTCAGGGGACCCCCGGGTTCTGCAGCCCTGCTACAGGGGAGGGGGTTGACAAGCAGGAAGGAGGTAGGAGCAACTGAGTACAAATCAGGGCTGGAACTGAGAAAAGAAGTTTCTCAGAAGAACTGAGAAAGATGAAGATCCTTCTACTGGGGAGACCTTGTCTGGCTAAAGTAACATTCCATACCACCACCCCATGCACACGTAGAACTGAATCTACAGCTTGTCTAGATCTGTGCTGTGCTCTTACAGCCCTGATCCCAAACCTGGGACTGCCATTATTACAGTCTGTGGAGAGTCCCACTCCTGATCAACTGAGAGCGTCCTTTGGTTCTCATTCAGAGTATGAGGGTCATTTTCATTTGCTCATTTTAAACCCCTGTTGCTAACCCTAACATGCACAGTAGCTGTCTGAAGTCTCTTATGAAGAAGGATCTCCATGAGGTCTATCTCAGTAGAGACTTCTAATCCAGCTGGATCCCTGAAGAAAGTGATGGTATGTAGTCCACTGAGTGAGTTACTCTTCTATTGTCCAGTCCTCTCACACTTTTCTGGTGATATAAAAGGGCTGTTAGTGTGGCAAACATTAGTTGTGTCATACTGTGCTGGCAACAGGAAACTCTTGGTGTGGTGGTTTTCCCTGGCTTTTGGACTAGTGACAGAAGGGTACAGGAACAGAGGTGGCATGGCCAAGGTGAGGGTGGAGAACTGCTGTGCTTTAGCTTTCCTTAGCTATAAGCCTATTATCTGGAAGTGGGAAGTAGAGCAGCTGTGAGGCTGCTGTAGTTGCTGCTGGAGGACAGAATTTCCCCGCTGTCCTTATTCTAGCGAAAATGCAAAGATTTTACATTCCTTTTTGCATCCTATTTTTGCAGCATTGCTTTTGCCAGATACTTGTTGTGCTAAGCAAATATTATGATGAAGTTAAGAGTATGAATCCAAATATTCAAAGACATTTACTCTGATTTGTGGAGGGATTAAGAGCTGCTCAGCATCTGAAAATACCCATTGACTTTATATCCCTAAATTTCTCTCTGAGATGTTGCATGGAAAGAAAATATTTACAGTTCAATTTCCTACTCTCTCGAGCCTCTTTAATTCAAATTTCACTCCTGTTAGCAATTGTTTCTGGTTTAGTTGTCTGGATAGTGTTTACTGACCCATTAACATTTGTTGGCCACTCATTAACTGCATCAGTATAAATCTCCTTATTTTTTAATACTGGACTCCATCTAAACTGTGCTGTGCTTCTGCACTGATTAAGGGAGGGTCAGAGCATAATAGTGGATCAGGAAGTAAAGGAACTGCACACTGAGAAAAACATGCTTTTCTTGAGTTAGCACAAGGCTATAGCGATTTCTGAGTTAACATAGAATTTACTGACAATTAAGAATAAGATTAGTAGCAATAAACTTGATGCTGTCCCTCTAGAAAATTATTAGAAATGTCTATTGGCTATTTTTTATCATTCTTTCAAAGTGGTGTTTGGGGGTCATTGGAGGAGACTGTAAATAAAATACTTTGCTCAGGACCCGATTCAGCAAAATAACAATTATGCTTCTGTGCCAGACCATCTTCAGCGACAGAAATCAATTTTTGTGGGCTCCAGAGCCTCATGCAGGATTAAGAAACATGGATCGCATGGGTAGGGGCTCATTTTTGTTGTTGTTGTTAAATCAGGTCCTTAGAGTGAAAGGGATATAACTATAACAAATTAGAAAAAGAGTTATGGAGAAGATATATTAAACCACAGACAAAGGATGATGGAATGATTAAATTATGACTTGGAGAGTATGGAAGGAAGTATAGCATAGAGAAGAACAGCATAGAAAATATGGGTTTAAACCTCTGAAAATGAGTAATGATGTGTCAGCATGGGCATCACTGGTTTTCAAAATGGCAACATAAAAAAATCCTAAATTGGTAGGTTTGGGAATTTTTTCTGCTGGAGAGTAATGAAAATTAATTTTTCCCATGCAGACTATCTGAAAAAAAAGAAGGTAATTTAACTAAGTAGTTCTATTGTCATACCAAGTACTTACTCTTTGCATTAATACCTTGCATCAGGTTTTGTGTCACAATCTCAGTGAAGTTACCTATAGTCTGTGACATTCCTTGTTCTTTTGCATTAAAGAACTGTATTGTAATCTCCTCGGCTGCCCAACATGGAGCTCAGGTTGATGGGAATTGGAGAAAAACTTCACAGAATAAAATGTGACAGTCTGTAACATACACAAGTTGCAAGCAACGTACAGTAATAACAAGTAAATGTTAACAAACAGAGCGAAAGAGAGAAAGAGAAAAAGAGAGAGAAAATGTGAAGAACATGTAAAAGAATTAAGATTCCTACATAACAACTCAGTTTTAGTTACCCCAATATTCTAAGGCCATTAAAAGAAAAATCTTTATTAGTTCTAGATATCTTTATTAAAGTTTTCTGATTTTTATATTACTGCATATTTTGAAAGTTGCTATGAAGCTCTTCTGAGTAGATATCACACTGATGGACTTTACACTGGCACGAGAGCAGAATTTAGTATGCTACATGAATACGCAGAATCCTTCCGACCCAACCTACCTCTTCAAAATTTACTCACCACTGTGTTGACCTGGGTCCCTCCAAGAAGTCGTGTCCCCCAGTAAAGGCACTCCAGTGATGGTGGTGACCACCTCTCCCAGTACTAACTGGCCAACATCGTAACGTCACTCCCAGAGAATATCACCTTTGAGAGGTACTACTTCTTGAAGTGAGGTGACAGTATGTTGGCTGCCTACCTATTGGTACTGCTAAAGGAAATACTGGAGCTCTAGTTAAGTAGACCCAGTGCGTCCTGCTATTACAGGTGTTAGTGGATATGTGCTTAATGCAGTGCTGGGAACTGTTGCTCCTCCAAGTGCTGCATTGCAAAGAGCTCTGGAAGATCCTTCCTAGTTTTATCACTTGTACCCATCCTGGACTTCTGAGAGTCTCACTAACACCTATTCTGCAGAGCACAGACCACAGTCGTGGACAGGTCAGGTAGAGGTTGCAGGAAAATGCAGTCAGGTGAGTCATGCTACAGTCTTGTATTACCGCTCTGACTGAGGAATACAGTATGATGATCTCTACAGTATGAAAGGTGTTGAGACATGGAGCATGGATGAATACAAAGAACAATGACAGCAGGAATGGTAGATTGCTTGTTATTTCAGCTTTGAGCTTATAAACAGACAAGCAAGTAACCAAAAGGCTTGGAGAAAATTTCCATCAAGTACAGAGTAAGAGGGATATAAGCAAGTGGACTGGGCACAGAACTGGGACCTCACGCCCAGACCCTTTTGTCCCTGGCCTTTTGTAGCAATGGGTAAGTCATCCCATCTATCTAGTCCTCCTGCCAGCAGAGATGTACTTCTTGCACAGGGGTGCCTTTTGTTGTACCTGTCCTGCAAACACCAGCCATACTGTCCAGCAGAAGGGAGAGATGCCCAGAATACCTCTTCCATATCCCAGGAATGCATTCTGCATGGCATGGCAGGGGAGCTGCAGTAGCAGGCATGTGCTTGAGAAAGAGGATTTACCATGTTTACATCTGCCTTGTGCTGGAGGGTTGGCACGGGTTGGCCTTATTTGGCTGGAGTGCTAGTATCTGTGTTTTCTCATCACTAAAAGTACCTGTGCTCATTAAGTTATTAAGACATGAAAAGTCCTAAGATTTATTATTTAGTTCTGCAATTGTTTTTCAGCCTAGTGAAGTTCTGCCCCTACACACGCTTATCCCTAGCTGTGGCCAGACTACAGGGAGCTGTGTGGTGAGATTAAAAAAAACATTTTTTTTTAAAATGTCTCACATAGTGCCAGCGAAGCGGGAAACCAAAAGCGCTGTGCTTGAATTCATAGCTCTTCCTTTTTGTTTTCAAATGACTTGGTATAGAGGATGTTATTTTTTATTCAAATTCTAAAGTAAACAAGCACCATAGTACACGTGACACCCACCAGTTGTATCTCTACAGGAAATAACAGATGAATAATTGTACAACAAAGTGTTACATTATATTAGTTATAAATTCTGCTTTCCATGTGATCCACAGCTGTGAGATTGCAGAAATGCCCCAAGGGCCAGGGGGCAAGGAATAGATCCGCATCGCTTCTACCTAACTGTAGGCACTTAACTGAGGATCTTAAGTTAGAGCTGCAGTCACCTGAGATCACTTATGGAGAAAGCCACCTCTAGAAGGCAATTCAGATTATAAATAAGTGAATTATTCTCTGAGACTGCCTGACTCTTGTTCCAGTATAAGAAGGACCTCAGGGAAATGTATCTTAGGTTAGATGATAAGAATTGAGTGTTGTTCCTTTTATTTTGAACTGTTACAATTTCTACATTAGATCCAGAGGACTCGATCTTCACAGAATCACAGAATGGTTTGGGTTGGAAGGGACCTTAAAGCTCATCTGGTTCCACCCCCTCTGCCCTGGGCAGGGACACCTTCCACCAGCCCAGGTTGCCCACAGCCCCGTCCAACCTGGCCTTGAACCCTTCCAGGGAGGGGGCAGCCACAGCTGCTCTGGGCAACCTGTGCCAGGGCCTCACCACCCTCACAGGGAAGAAATTCTTCCTTCTATCTAAACCAAATCTACCCTCTTTCAGTTTAAAACCATCACCCCTCATCTTAGCCCTATGCTCCCTGATAAAGAGTCCCTCCCCAGCTTTCCTGTAGCCCCCTTTCACTCTCCCTGGAGCCTTCTCCTCTCCCGCTGAACACCCCCAGCTCTCTCAGCCTGTCCTCATACAGGAGGTGCTCCAGCCCTCTGGATCTGCAGTGACATTAAGATGCAATCATTACCTCATTTGCTATTTTGGAGTGATGGATTTTGGACTTTCAAAGGCTAGGAAGGCTAAGTATAGGGAGGAACAAAAAATCATCCCCCTATTACCTTTTCCACTGCCTTTTTTGGTGGTTTTTATGTCCAACACATTTAAACATCAAAGTTTTTTGAGCTGAAACAGACCTTTGCAGTTACATTGCTGTCTACTATCCACCTTACAGAGAGGGTCAAAGGTTTTATGACACTAAAATTAGATGAGATTTTTTTAATGTTCAGAGGCATTTGATCAGAGAACTTTCTTCCCCATGGATTGAAGGACCACCGCAGTGACTACATACCTATGGCGTTAACAATGCTTTGCTATCCATAAAAGCCGCTGAAGTTCACAAACTACAGTGTAATGTTAGGCAGCATAATGGGCCTGTGACAAGAACTGCCAAGAGTCCCCAGCTCCCACTGAGCACTGGCACTAGAATTACAGTGTTCAGCACACTTCTGACGTTAGAACCTGTGTGTTGCACAAGGAATACAGGTTATTTAGGTTATGGTGACAGAAGGGATGAAAAATGAAGTCCTGAGAAAAGAGCAGTTCCTTCAGAAAGCATGAGTGATAAAGCTGAAATGGGTAATTCCACATTACTTCTCTAAAAGGAGATCAGCTCTCTCTCAGGAAATTGCACTGAAATATTACGTTCCTAATGTCACAGTTTGCTCCAGTTCATCTGACCATGGAGTACACTGGAGCCACTGTAACTCTGTAGTTCCCCTCTGTCAGTGGTAGACTTGGATAACTTCAGTTATTCAGACATGGGGATAGTCAAGGAGTGGGTTACAGAAAATTGTTTTTTGGGTAGGTAAGTAAAACAACCACAGAAGTTTTTCTGAAGCTAAAGGCTGTATTAGTAATGACAGATGTTTTCCCTCTCCTCTTAGGCACCTGAACTCTAGTAATATTTCTTCCATATTTTGCAGCTATGCAATGAGTAGAGAATTTTGCTATCAGAACACTGTGGAAAAGGCTGAACAACACATTTGTATGAAGATAGGATATCCTTGGAGTACAGCTTAAGTAAAGCAGCATGCAGAGGGGATCAGAGATGTGAGAAATTATTTTTTTTTTGGCCATATTAAAGTCCATATAAACACTGTGTGTGCTGGTGTTGTAAACATATATACAAAAACAATAAAAGGTTGGGGTAGATCTCTGAACAAACCCAAAATAACCCATCACCTGTGCTTATGTATTATGGCTGCATTCTGAAGACCATTGCTCTGGGGCACCAGACAGTACTGCAGGCATTGAATGAAGTTATCAATTCCCTTCATATTCTAAATTTCTTTTACAGTGTTGGAAAATGACATTCACCACTTCAACCTATGGCAACTTTAACCCTGCAATCAACCTATCCTTCAGGTAAGCACACAGCTCACGGAAGAGCTGAGTAATACTTTAAAAACAAAACTAAGAGCTTTCCAGGTTTGTTTTCCATGTTTTGAGGTTTTCTTACAAACTTGTACCTTAAAGTATTTCACTATGTGTACTGAGATTTATTTAATTATTTATACCTGTAGGACAGCGTGTGGTATGGGACAGAAACCAGCTGAGTTTAAGTGGTTGACACTGGCTTTTTCTGTTTTGCTTCTGTTTGACACAAATTTTGCTTTGCTTTTCTTCTGTTTCGCTTCTGTTACGATACTGACTGGAATACTCAGAAACCTTTAGATAAAAAGTGCTGCAGCACAGCAGACTGTGGTTGACTGATGCTTATGTTATGTTCAACTAGTGGCTTTGCCACAGACCTTTCAAGTGGTCTCGCTCAATTAAATTAAGCCATGTGTCAAATGAAAATACTGGAGATTACTTCCATTTTCTTTTTGCTGTCTACGTACCCTGTCGGGTATTTGATTGTAATACAGTGGTTGTCACATATACAACAATGACAAAATGAAGCCCTGATCTTGAATGGGGCCTGCAAACAACACTGCAACATAACAAAGTTAACAGTTTGACAGGTGATATTAGAACTTGGTGTGCATATTTTAAGTGAGGGGACACTTGGTCCTCTATAATTTGAGATGTCCCCAGGTCAAGGAGTTTTAGTCAAATTGGTCGGGTGAGATCTGCTCCTTTTATCAGGCCCAGATCCTCCAGGCACTATAAAGTGATATCTTGAGAATTTACAGGCATCAGAAACTGCCTTGAAGAAGATTTTTTGTCTAGAGGCAATATCTACTTTCTTAATGCTGCTGGTGAAGGCCTGCCTGCAGCAGTAGCTCTGCCACCCTCTACTCTGAAGTGCCTTCCCTCCCCTTTGCTGCTTTCCCAGCCACCCACTGATGGGATCAGGCAGGATGGAGAGCAGGAGGGGTTGCTGCAGAAAGGGGAGACATGGTAGAATCAAAGCCTGACATTCTTTATATCAAATTAAAATCAAGCACTGTTATTTAAAGATACCCTCCTGCCAGGTGTAGATTAGCCCAGGACTGAGCTGCTGAGAGTGTTGGGGACAATTAAAAAATTTAATTCAAACCTACCAGAATTTAAATCCAAACCATCTTTGCTTTGCCTGCAAATGACCATAGCCTCATTGGCAGCAGCTGTGCAGCCTGTGGGCAAAGGTCTGCTGTTTGCATGTCCGTGCCAGGAAAGTGCTCCTTAGCCCGAGAGGAGGCACTGGGCTCTCCGCAGAGCCCCCTTGGCCCTGGTGTATGGACCGAGAACTGCTGGGAACTGCTGGCTCGGTGCATGAGAGGGCTAGGGAGAGACACTCGTATGTGGAACTATTTCATACTCATTGCTGTTTTGTGAAGTGTTTAATCATTTCGCCACACATAATATATGGAATTAATAATTTCATGTGATGTCCTATACACCTGAGCAGCTAAACAGGCTTTTTTTTTGAATAATGTATTAGATATACATCATATGACCTTTTATCACCTAGACACTGTCACACTGAAGCTTTACAGTTGAAAATCACAAGAAATATCTTGGACAACTCAGGCATTATTTTAGAAACGTTAGGCACCCGTTCTGTGTTCCTAGTACAATGTTAACTAGTTGGTTATCTACAGTTAGGTGCTATTAAGCAATCCAAATATTTTACAGTATGGGACACATCCACTGCTTGCAAGTCTCTGTTTTCATATAACATGCAGGTTATAGTTTCAGGAACAAGTCAGTGCCTACGAATGCTTCATATTACATAAGTGAACCTCAACATCCAAGGCAGTGCAGATCTTGTTTTAACAGTTCGGTGCTGATCTTACTACTTTTCTCTTGCACACATAGAGATCTTTCCCTGTTAGGAAGCTAAGAGATGCAGGCAATATTTTTTGCTACTAGTGGTGCATAATAATTATCAGCAACAAACTCCAGCAACAGTGTTACCGAGTCCATCTTGTTAGCTGAAGTATAAGTGTGCTTTGTTACTTCTTAAAATATATATGCTTGTATACGTATATAAAAATAGTCTCTCTTAATTATTGCAGAAATAGATAAGTTGCTGTTACTATCAATACTTCATGGATATTGTGGTAACAGCTGATTTTAGAGCACTGATGGTGGCAAAACAGTTCCACATTGAACCAAAATTACACGTATTCTCAGGATACCAGTGTGGAATTGCACTGAACTCGTAGAGTTCTTAGTCCTCTAGTTCCCAGAGAGGACCACGGTAGGTAATGGAAGGAACTTTATAAAGAAGGGATTTCTAAGAAAGTCACTGCGGCTGACTGCTAAAGTACTCAAGAGTCTTGCATCTCTTGCACATTACAATTGGGTAGTTGGCATGTTGCTCACAGTAGGAGACACGCAATATTTTTGTGCCCTCTTTCCCTCTTGATATGTGATGCCACAAAGACATCTACTTATGAGGAAGTTTGCTGCTTGGACATGCATTGTGATAAGCATTTGCAACCCGAGGGGAATGGATGATAAAACCATACGCTTATGCGCCAAAGATACAATAGGAAAGGACAGTCTATCAGTCACGTGAATTGTGATTGGCCTGTTGCAATGGAATAGCCTTTAACAAAAAAAAATGAAAGCTATTTACCTTCTGAATGGATTTTACATAGTTGCACAAGAGGGAAAAGAAATAAGAAAAGAAGAGAGAAGAGAATAGAAAAGAAGAGAAAGGTTCCCACCAGCTCGTCCCCTCCAAAATTAGCATTGGCATTGGTGGAGTCACACACAAAGGAAAGTCTAACTTTCTTTGTGCCTCTCACAATGACATCAACATGCATGGCTATGAGATGATGAGAGAATACCTCACTCACAGTGAGTAACAAATCAGAATTTTCTTCAAAGTAAAAAAATGATAACACAAGACCATCATAGGTATATGCTAGCTCTTTCAAAACATCTCTCTTTGACTAGATGTCAGTTAAAATCACTTGATGGCAATCTGTTCTACCTAATACAACACGGGGATATTCTGAATAGGCTGAAGAGTGTCTACTATGCAACTTGGCTGGAGCATCTGCCAAATATGAAGTTGGTTTTGTTTTCAACGTGGTTATCTACTCTGAAATTACTCCATAGAATAAATAGTGATATTCCATGGGTAGAGGTAGATTATGGGGTTTAAATAATCAAATTGGAGCCCCGTAACTTTGTGTGCTATATGAGGATTCTCATAAAACTGAGATATTCCCATAATTAACCACTAGCCATGGGATATTATAATATATTCCATGGTGACTAGTATTTTTTCCATTTCCCTCCCCCCTCCCAGCAGAATTAGTATGATTAATTTTGCTCTGGTTTCACCTATTGCTAACATGAATCAGTATAATTAAAAATAATAATACCATATTATGAGGCAATCACTGTTTAGGCCAAACGGGCCAGTAATGACCAGTCAGACCTTTTCCAGTTGGCCTTTGCTGCTAGAAGGTTGAAAGAGCTGTAACTCACCAACCCATACTTGCAAAAGGAGTATATTTTAGAAAATGTGGTTCAAAACCCTTCATAGTTCTAAATGCTAAATTCTAGTGGAATATTATAGAATAGATTGATTTGCATGCCATGGAATAAACATCCTTACATCTAGTCTTGTCTCAGAGTGAGTCATTTTGCATTAGTGTCAAGAATTTGAGCTGTTGTTCTACTTTGCAGTTAATCATCAGAAAGAGACGGGATTGTCTCATGAATATGCATGATGGTATAGTTGTCCCTTCAACTTACTAGGCACCTAGTTTCTGTAATGAGATGTACAATATCTGCCATTTAAAACAGCTGAAAGGTCCCAAATGGGAACAAATGAGAAAGCATCTGGCTGTTTTGAATTCCAGCCCTGTTTTGTCAGAAAACTCTGTAATTGCTGAGTACTTGGCTCCTACTCTGCTCTATGAAGCATTCAGCTCTCAGGAGCCTCTGAAATGCATTACACAGTCCAGCAACATAGCTGTAGAACTCTCAAAATTCTTCCACTAGATGTAACAGCTCTTCAAAATATCTTGAGACTTGTATGCCCTTAACCAGGACCAAAGTTTGGGCTCCTAGAGCGTGCTCTCATCCTTAGTTTTGCTGATCAGCCTCCACTGTACCATTTGTCCCTGCAACCTAGACTTCACACATATTATTCACTGTGTGATGGTGGGACTAGAATGGATAAATGTGCTACCCATTGCTCTAAGAAAGCAGTCTGGCTGAATCTTAAATCACTACGCGGGATGGAGGTTAACGGTCAGATGGACATTCCTCTAAGAGGTTTCCTACCTGCTCTGTTAATTTCTAAAATTTCTTCTTGGGCCAGTGGGCAAGTGTCGCTCTGAGTACTGTGGTGTGGAGAGTTTACGACAGATTTACAATAATTGGGGGATCCCAGCTGGGGTGGCCTCGGGATATGCTTCTTTTTTTTCTTTGGTAGCTTCTGCTTAGCCATAGCTAAGGAGTAATACATTCCGAAATTGTTCACAATGACAGGGACAGGCATGGCAATGGTCAGCACACCAGCGAGAGCACAGAGGGCCCCCACCAGCATGCCTGACCAAGTCTGAGGATACATGTCTCCGTAGCCCAGGGTCGTCATGGTGACAACAGCCCACCAAAAGCCGATGGGGATATTTTTAAAGTGTGTGTGTTCACTGGCACTAGGGTCATTTGGTTTAGCACCTATTCTCTCGGCATAATAGATCATCGTGGCAAAGATTAAGACGCCCAATGCCAAAAATATGATGAGCAGCAAGAATTCATTTGTGCTGGCGCGGAGGGTGTGTCCCAAGACCCGCAACCCAACGAAGTGGCGGGTCAGCTTGAAAATTCGCAGGATTCGCACGAAACGGACTACACGGAGGAAGCCCAGGACATCCTTAGCAGCTTTGGAAGACAGGCCACTGAGTCCAACCTCTAGATAGAAAGGCAGTATGGCCACAAAGTCAATGATGTTCAAAGAGTTTTTGATAAATTCCACCTTGTTTGGGCAGAAAGTGACTCTCATCAAGAACTCAAATGTAAACCAGACCACACAGACACCTTCGATGTAGGTGAGAAAGGCTTCAGTCTCTGCTTCCCTGTAGTGCCGCACCTGGGTGTCATTCCCGATGAATTCAGTTTCTGTCTTGTTCACAATGGGGTTAAATCTCTCATGGGTCTCGAGGCAGAAGGTAGTGATGGAGACCAGAATGAAGAAGAGGGAGGCAAATGCCACATACTGTGGAAAGAAAGATACAAGAGAAATGTTAAACAGTAGGTTAAGTACAGGGGCTTTGATTTTGAAACACAAGGGAGAGACAAGAGCTATATTAAAACTTAAGATAATGCCAAACCTTCTTCCTATGAGCTTAAGATGCCAAGGCCCACCTGCAAAGACAGCCTAACACTCAAGCTTGGAGGGACAGCAGTATGTAAGTACATGTGAACTTCCATTCCTATACAGATAGTACTTTAGTGTGAATGTAAATTTAAGCAAGCATTTAAATCTCAGAGCTTTCTGTGGTGTTTAAGATTAAGGACATATTTAAATTCTACTTTCTGAATTTGGTCTTCTGTTACTTCCTGGTCTTAAAGATAGAGCACACCTTCTAGGACAATTGTCAAGCAAGTATTGTGTCAGTGGTATAGTGGTTGCCTCCTGCTCCCAGCTTAGTGACAGTTGTGGGGTTTCAGATCTCGGTAAGGTGCTAGTAAATACTAGTGGCAGTCTCAGGTGGGCTCTGCGGTAAGGAGCAGAGTCCTGCTTGGCATCATCAGACTTTTCTGCCAAGTCTTAGGGACAGGTTGAGGAATAGTCATGTATCAAAATGAGCTCTCCTAAAGTAAATTCTCTGTTCTCAGTTCTCTTCTCCAGACCTTTTGGGGTGGGGGACAGGGAGTGGGAGAAAGAGGTTTCAGGTTCACCTGTCAGCTGATCCAAAAGGAACCAGATCTATTGGATTTTATCAGAGAAGGTTTTCTTGAAGAGATTCTCATTACAGTGTAAGACTCGTACCAGAACTAGATGAATCTTTCGTAAGGCTGTTGGATTACAATTTGGTTTATCAGGTTACAGTGAAGCAGCCCCCCAAAGTCAATGAGTGTTTAGCTTAGGAGGATTTGCCTCTTCTGCTTCAGTTCCTGCTTTTCATAGAACCATAGAACAGTTTGGGCTGGAAGGGACCTT